TATATATATATATAACTTATTTCTCACTTCTATTTTTATTTGATGTGATGATGACATCAGTGAGGATTCATATAGCCGACCGCGACTTGTTTTGGACTGAGGCGTAGTTGTTGTTGTTGGAGACCTTTGCTTTTTACCAACCTTGACTGATTATCATAGTGATACAGGATGTTAAATATTTTGTTTGAAACTACAATGCACTCGGTTAAGTCTAGCCCAAGGAAGTTATTATCTGCTCTTCAGAGGTAAGTCTGCACACACAGGACAATACCAACAACATGCAGTGTAGGACCCTCATTAAGCTGACTTTGCCAAAGGTAACTATAAGAGTTTGAAGATTGGGAAAGATAGATAGATAACGGAAAGCTGCGTCTGGAAACACCTAAGCAAAATCTTTTATCTTGGGCATATGCACTCACAAGAGATGTGAATATGAGCAATACAACGTGAAGGAGGAATATGGAAAGAAGTTTAATTGGCAGGCAAGATTGGCACATGGATAATGAATGAGGAGAGTAACTGAGCTCTAACTTAAGCACTTTTTTTTGAAAGAGATAGAAGTAACACGGGACTAAGTAATTTCTCCTGCAATTCCTACTTATCCTTCTAATGCATGCTGATATCCTGACTACTTTCTCTTTAGTTTCTTCCTTTTTGAAAGCTAAAGTTCCCTTCAAGGTAAAATAAAATCAACTATGACTCAGTTACAAGATTACTTAGGCACGGATATAGGAATCCTTTGAGTACATTGCGCTTATTCGGTTCAAAGGATTCATTAAACCTAGACTAATTTTTACGCTGTCCTTTAACCTACTGCTGCCCTTCTACTTTATTTCAGTTCGATATCGCCTCTGCTTTGTGACGCTCCGACAGGTAGAGTTTTCCACTGAAGTGAAAGTTTTTACAAATTCCTTGGTTTGTTAGAACTTAAAAACCTAATTACCTAATAGGAATGACTTTTCCTCTTAGGAAAGGTAAAAGACCATTGATTTTTGCATTCCTCTTCTGCATACAGTTTGTCGTGGAGGTTGTTCAGATTATCAGGAAGGCTATTGTGATTCCTTCCTCTTTCAATAAGCTACTTACAACCGGGCAATGTGGTTTCAGGAACAGAAAGGAAGAAAAACTACTACAAGCATGCAGCTTATTTGGCTTAGACATGGTAACATGGTTAGCAAGAAATTCAACAACATTCCACGATGAAATGTAACTGGCATCTAAAATCTATAAAAAGGATTTTAGCCTAGCAGAAAAACCAAGGTTTCTTTTTACTTCAGTGGATTTATCAGAAAAGATACCAGGACTTAAAACACAAGGAACTGGACTGGAATAAGAAAACAAGACCAGAAATTAGTGATGGCAATGGAGCGGAGCGGGTGCGGGGCGGGTTTGATCTTATGCAGGGCGGGTTGAAACTGTTTTTTCAAAATCTAATGAGGGGCGGGCCGGTTGCGGGTTTCCTTGGGGGTTTACTCCACGGAAATCACTATAGACCGTACAAAATATGGCAAGCAATTATTAGCAAAAATAACAAAATGAAAAAAAGGCGGGGCGGGGCGGTTTTAAATTTTGCGGGTGCATTCCTGCCAGAAATTTGGATAAGGCCAAAACGAGGAAAATGCACAGGGTGCGGATAAGTGACAGCAATACATGCATCTATTATGCACATCATCAGAGATTTAAAAGGAGAAGCATATTGACCTGCTCATAGCAAACATCAATTAGTTCCAGAGCCTGGGTCATCTCTACCATTCCAAGTTCACCAACTGGAGACGGTGCATTCTTCCCACCTATAATTTTGGGAGCAACAAATGCATGTACCTGCAGTAAGGTTTGAAATATATAACTGCAAAACAAAACTAAAAATTCCTATCCATATGCAAACTATCTGAAATTTCCTTTAGCAGAGCAGAAAAAGGTCTGTTTAATAACTAAGTCAACTAGAAGAGCTACCAACTAGTGGTGGCAAAATGGTTAAAAGAAAACAATTATTCATCTATATTATCCATTAAAAAATGGATAAGTAATGAGTTTATGGATAACCAATGGATAACTAATGAGTTTAACTTCTACATTTGTAAAGCCTCAAATTGGGGGTTTCTCATGTTTGGGAGACTAGGAATTCTCCCAAAACTAAAGTGATCGTATTCAAGAAGTCATGGATAATATGGATATCCATATTATCCGTTGGTTAACCCGTTTTTTAATCCATATTACATATGGGTCGGGTCAGATTTTGCATTACCCGTTTTTGACCCGTCCATATCCGACCCGCCCATTTGCCACCCCTACCGCCAACAAACAGGACTGATGAATTCTTAATAAGACGAAGAAGACCTTAAAGGCTGAACTGTAAGCAAAGCAAAGAAAGATACACAAACCGCTGGGAGTTTGATAGTCTATGCTCTGAGCATTGACAAAAACTTTTGATAGTACAATGAATAATAAAGAATGAACCAAAAGGAATCCATGCACTAGACAAGTCACACTGACGTCCTTATTTAGTTAAAACACAATGAGATATATCCTTGCATTGGATTGTTCTGAAGTAAAAAGCCCCTGAATCAGGCAGCTCGCTGTTATTCACTGGTGTAAAAGAACAGTAACTTCTAAAATGCTTTAAATAGAAAATCAAAATTAGCATTTCAGTTGCATACTCTCCGTTTAAGAATTAAAGAGGATAAATCAAATTTCTTCCTTACAAGTAATAAAAGCTCAGCAGGAGAGTACAAAATATGAGAGCAAACCTTGTGTATGACCCCAGAAGAAATAGCAGATGCAGCCAGTGTCCCTCCACACTCCCACAGAATTGAGAGGTAACCACGATCATATAAATACCCCATAACATCTCTAGGATCTAAAATATCAAATTCAACCACTTCAACGCCTTTGGATGCAAGCAATCTCTGGAAACTCCTCCTTGCACCTCTTTGTGTAGCAACTATAGTGGGGACCTCAGAAACATTCCAAATATGTGCATCTTCTGGAAGATCAAGAGTTTGAGATAATACAATACGCCGGGGAAGATGGCTACCACCATGTCTAACCGTCAAACGTGGATCTGGAAACCAAAATCAAAAGCATAGTAACAGTAAAATATCTGGGGCATCTCATCAAAGTTAAGCAGCATAAAGCCATTTTCGGCATCTCTAATAAAGCTGACAGTATATTAACAACATTCGGACATTGGACTGGGAAGAGTCATACTGTCTTTGCGCACAGTATTTCCTCCAACAATAACAGCATCACTTCTACCCCTCATTTCAAAAACACGAGTTCTTGACTTTTTGCTACTGATCCAAGATGCATGACCACTACTAGTAGAAATTTTCCCTGCATACACCATAATGTGACAATGGGTGATTGTCCAATTTGTTAATGAAAATTGTGATTTGTTACCATAACACTGCTGCAACAACATCATAGGCTCTGCGCTCACCATCAAGTGTCATTGCATACTTGAGAACAGAGAACGGAACTTGACACGCAGCTCTATATAGCAAAGGAGCATTGACAAAAAGGCAGGATTTCACAGCCTCCTGGAAATTATAGACCATAAGTGTTAACTCTACACAGAGCAGAAATTAAAGAATGTATGAATTAGCTCTAAAAGGCGAAAAACTACCATGATTTATTAAAGCAAGACATTAATAGTATATTGGGTTTACGTTTCTTCTTTTTTTCTTTTTTGAGTTTTAAAAAACAAATACTCATTTATCTTCAACAAAGATCTAGAACTCATCATAATAATGCAAATACTAAACCATTTGCTATGTCTTGAAATTAATGGTTTTAGTTTCTAATGTTAGGTCAAATATTATGCATCTAAACAAGGGTTAAATTACAAAAGATTTCCCCCAAAGTTTATCCACATAGCAGTCACCTTCTTCGAAGCTTTGATAGTGATAAAACCTATTTTATTCAGTAAGCAATCAAACTCAGTTTATTTATGCGATCAACTTTCCCTTCAGGATATCATATTTTGAAGCGTCTCTAGAATCAAAAAATAAAGCTTTAAACACTTCATAGTGATGCGCACACGCGCACACAACTTTTTGAGAAAGTACTATTATATTATAAGGGCAAGCAGGATGATCGACATACAAAAACAAGTTTGGGTACTCGAAACCTAAAAATAAGGAAGGTTACTGTAATATCTTAAAACTACCGGGGAGGTGAAGGTTATAGAAAGAAGCCTCAGGCGAAAATATTGCTGTCGGCAGCAATATTTTCACTCACGACTTATATTTCTAGATATATGTGTGAAGATTAATGCATCTGAAGGTCGAGCAATATCAAACAGATAAGTAATTTTGAGGAAAAAAAAAGAACAAGTTTCCAATCCCCCAACCTCCAATACAGACGTCAGGAAGACAGTAGACTACCAGGTTTCTGATGATCCTCTGTAAAAAGCTTGGACCAATCCAATCAAACACTTCAGCCTGTTGTGGAAGATGGCAAGGAAAACAGAGGCATTGGCATGTATCTTGGGATCCGTAGTAGGAGCATCTTGGTTTGCCAAGTGTCAGAATTTTGTCACATGATTGTAAAAGAAATTTGTAGTGCTCTTACTTTGCATTCCAGGATACTGGACAATGCCTGTATGTTTCTGCCTTCATTCACCACAAACATGGAGCTCTTAGACAGATAAGTAATCCAAAAACAGCCTCGAATATTAGTAGCATTGCTCTCAGATACATGATTTGCTGCTTCTCTGCCCCATATAAAGGCAATGTGTTATCTGCGTAGAAAATGTGAGATATCTTCACCTTCTAATTGGTCTCTTCTAGCACAGTGAACCCTTTTAACCATCCCCTGTCCATGGCATTATTTAGCATTCAATTGAAAGCTTACATAACTATACGGAAGAGAAAAGGAGAAAGAGGATTTCCCTGCCTCAAACCACCTCTACTGAATAGAACGACACCTCATTCCTCTAGGGGTTGGAAAGAATCACTATGGACTACCATTTACTGACCGAAAAGTAGGCTATGGAAATATAAGCTTTTATCCAGTTCATCCATTTAATGCCAATCCCCATAATTTTAGTGCCTCTAGTAAAATCTGGCAGTTCACGTTACATCTTTTCCAAGTCCACTTTACAAACAATTCCAGCTTCCTTCTTCCTCATTCTGGAGTCAAGGCACTCATTAGCAATGAGGGAAGCATCCGCTATTTGTCTTCCTAGGATGAAAGCCATTTGAAATTGTGTCTCCAACTGATCCCTAAAGTAACTCAGAAAGCACCTTGTAAAAGGTACCAATTAGACTTATTGGCCTGAAACCCCTTAATTCCGTAGCACCATTCTCCTTAGGGATTAGGGCAACGTAAGAAGCATTATAACTTTTCTCAAACCTATCATGAGTGTGAAAATGGTTGATGGCCATGATAAGATCAGACTTGATGATGCCCCAGCATTTCTTGTAAAATTCCATTGTAAAACCATCCGGGCAGGTGCCTTGTCCTCACTGCAGTCTTAATAACCTCGCATCTCTTCATCAAAGGGTCTTTGCATCAGCTGATTTTTTTATCTTAAATGGTTGGAGTGTTGTCTTGTACAATGAAAGCCTTCAATGGATCGGGGATTGGTATAGAGACTCATAGAAATTCAATATTTCACCGCTTATGGCTCTTCATCTTCCACTAACATCCCATTTGATTCTAATCTATCAATGTGATTGTATCCCCAATGAGCACTCACCATCTTGTGAAAAAAACTGTATTTTTGTCTCCTAATTCAAGGCATAACCGCATAAGCACCTGGACATCTGTCTCCATAACATTTCCTCTAATCTTGCACTTTCTTCCAACTCCATGGAAGATTCATCTTTGAGGAGTTTTTCATCTTCAGTGAGTTTCCTGGTTTTTGCTTACTAGCCAAACCACTGCACTTTTCTCAAAATTTCAGATTTCCTATGTTCCAACCTTCCAAAGATGTGATGATTCCACTCCTTTAGCTTTGCTTTTAGTTGCTGCAATTTTTTAGCAAAAATGAAGTCCAGGCTGCCATAAATGTGAAAGTAATTCCACCATTGTTTCACCAGTTCCTCAAAAACCTCATATTTCAAACCAAGCGAACTGACCACCAGTGAGTAGGGGGGTCTACAAGCTTGAGCTAATTCCTCCATTTCTCTGGTAACTCTGCTGCTGTGTCTTCTTTCTCCCGGAAACCTGGTGAGGTTAAATTCACCACAGATTACCCATGGCTCGGTGATGAGGCCCTTAACTGCAGATAACTCGAGCCAAGTTTTAGACCTTCAGTTCTATTTGTGGGGGCTTAAATCAGTGAAAGCACCCATCGAAACAAGTGAAGGATTCCTGAGGTGCACTGCGATAGAATGTTGGCCTCTAAGAGCTTTTGTTCCTTCCCAAGCTTCTTTATCCAAGATAATCCAAACGTTTGACGCTGATATTTCCACAATTGAAGAAGGTATAAACTTAGGGGGATGAAAAGCTTATGCAATTTGCTAAAATTCGGGTGTGACCTATGTTACACAGTGACGAGAATTATTTTACTTTGAATTAATTCTTCGCCATACTTAAATATCTTAGTTTGTTTTGCAATTTTAGTAATGAAAAGTCTTGGTAAGGAGGAGTCTGAATCGGAGAAGTGGAATTTAGTATATAACTGAGTATGGTGATTGAATATAAATGCTAATAATCTGATGTGAACATGATGTATGATTCTTTTCGAAGACGATATCCTGCAACTTTTGATTGGGAGAACTAAGGAGAGAAAATGCATGCCTCCACTTTTGAGAATTATCAAGAATATTTTGAATTCTGGGGAACCATAAGTAATTTGTCAAATGATTTCTTCTGCTGGTAGAAATCTGAGTATATGGTCTGATTTTACAAAAACATTTAGCACCATACCATTAATGCGGTACTCTTTTTTTTCTTTTCTAGAGACTTCTAATCTCATCAAAATGTGAAAAGTAGATAGATATTCACCATAACTGCAAGGTAAAAAAAACAAGGACACGTATGATGAATAAAATCAGAAGTGCAGTTAGTGCTATGGTTTCCTTGTATCATGTAGAATGTTTTAATTACTCCAGAACTAAGAATTGAGACCTAACAAAGAGTTAAATTGCCATACAGAAGCTCATCAAGTGCATTGTCCTGGATACTACATATTATATTTTACCTCAATAATCTTATTCTGTGTATCTTCCCCAAGCACATCAACTTGAAGGCCTTCACTTCTCAACGCGTGAATGGCATTGCCGCGAAGGTGTTGCAACGGATTCCGTATTCCAATAACAACTCTACTAATTCCTGCCTAACAAAGATGCATCAATCGCACTAAACTTTAACACAAAAGCGTGCATATAATCAACTTTTGCAATCAGTCTTCCTGGCTAATAAGGTGGTAATAAACAGATTAACTTTTAAGTGTTACATGAACTTCTCCTCTGAGCAACTTTGCATTTACGGTACCATGCTCCTTAAAAGTTAAAACTATAAAAGGTGAAAAGGTCAACACCAGCTGGATGCATTCCAATTAAAACACAAGTTGTTAACAGCAGAATTCACTATTGACTAGTAGTTGCAGAGCCAAGAATTTATACAAAGGGATTAAAAAGAAATAGAATGTCACACCTTTTGAGTCGCTTTGTCACTCCACTAGATTTTTCCCTTATATCAAGGGGATTCAATAGCTTATATATAACCATTAAAATACATTTTTACCCTATTTTCACAGTATAATTTGAATCCCTTTTCCATTATTTAGCTCCACAACTGTTGGCTGGGGGGACAAGCACGGACTTACGTGGATCCAAGAATTGAACTATTATCTATTCATCATAGCATCATGGTCCATTTTCCATTAAAAACGGAGGTGCAGTCAATCAAGCAGCAAAAGGATGAGAATCTGGACAGTCCCAAATGCATGAAACACACAGGTTCCGAAACAGTAATCAATTGCTTTCTCAATCTTGTGTAGTAAAATACAGCATGCTACTCTAGTAAATGTCTTGTATGTGTAAGGAAATTTCATTTGTGATACCCTTCTTCTATATGCTGGCACTATTTGAGTAAAGATACAGATTATTTTTACGTATATTGAAGGAGAGAAAGTCAAACTGAGTAAATATACCTTGATCAGGGCAGAGACAGCACTGCTATTGCTGTGACAGTCTCCAGGTTCCATATTGAGATAAGCAGTGGCACCTCGACACCGCTCGCCGGCGGCTTCCACAGCCTGCACCTCCGCCGGAATTGTCCCTTCGGCGTACAAGTAACCTTCTCCGACCACCGTACCTCCACCATTATTGGGATGGGCGATTACGCAGCCGAAGTTAGGATGAGGAGCGGTGAATCCGGCCGATTTGTCAGCTAGCTCGGCAGCGCGTTTGATGTACAGAGAATCAAGCGCGTGGAGAGAGGAAGCGGAAGCGGAAGTGTAATTGTTGTTGAAGGAAGAAGCATTAATGGGTTTGCAGAGAAGAGGAGTAGCTAATCCTCCGAGCAAATGAGCCATAGTATTGTCGATAACTTGCAGAAAAGGATATGTCAATATTGCTTATTGAGGATGGAGTAACCTGAGGTTAGATAACTGGAGTTAGCAGTTGACTAAAAATGTGATTAGTTAACTAATTATTGTAAAGTTAATTAGTGAATATTTGTTAGACCCAATAATGAGAATTATAGTAGCATGTTTGGTCAAGCTTCTAAGATCAATTCTTTTATTGAAGTACTTTTTGAAAAGAAAAAAAAATATTATGTGTTTGACAAATTTAAAAAGCACTTTTGAGTAGCAATATATATTTGACCAAGCTTTTCAAAAAGTGCTTTTAAATATTCCCTATGGTCCACTTTAAGTGATTTTTTGGCTATTTTTACACATATTAAGGAATTCACCTTTTAGCATTAATTAACAATAAAATTGACCATATTAACCTTAGTTTGCTCATTGGAAATACGGAAAAGGTCCAATAATATCCTTAAACTATTGAAAATAGCTCACTTCTGTCCTCTGTTAGCAAACTGGGCCAACAAAATCCCCCACGCTAATTTTTTGGGCCAATAATGCCTTCATTCTAACGGCCGCCTGTCACGACCCTAAATCCCAACCCGGTCGTGATGGCGCCTCTTGTGAAGACAAGGCCAGCCGACACACCTCCAATTCACTTTAAACAACTAAAACAATAACTACTAAGTCTTTAATCAGAAATAAAATCCCAAAATGAGCATTTAACAGTATAATTTGCGGAAATAAAAACCAACACAGCCCGACATCGAGGTGTCACTAGTCATGAGCATCTACTAAGGTCCGAATACAACTAGAGTCAAATATGTGCTAAATACGGTCTAATGAAATCGAGAGGGAGAAAAGAAGTGTTGCGAACGTCGGGCAGCTACCTTGCTAAACTCCGATGACTCTGCCTCTGAGCAACCAATACCCGCTACCTGGTTCAGAAATACCTGAATCTGCACACAAGGTGCAGGGAGTAAAGTGAGTACTTCCAACCCAGTGAGTAATAAAAATAAATGAAGATTGAGTGATAGGAAATCACGAAGAGTACATCAACATGCTGTATAGAAGCAGTACAAAACCAGTAAGAAAGCAATGAAGCTGTGAAATCTCTTAAGCACCTTAGCTCAGTTTAAACTTGTTCAAAAATGGCTTTTCAACAGTTAAGCAATTGAATGCAAGCAATTAGAACTTTTAACAGTAAAGCAAGTAAATGACGCGCAACTAGAAAAGATAAGCACGTAAAGAACCGTCCCTCGGGCACAATATCAATAGAATCAGCCCCTCGGGCACAATACCAACAGAACAGCCCCTCGAGCAAACACATGGAACAATACCAGCCCCTCGGGCATAATAACAACAGAATCAGCCCCTCGGGCAATAACATAGAACAATACCAGCCCCTCGGGCTATATCTCGTATCACAATGGGTACCCGCGCTCACTGGGGGTGTACAGACTCCGGGAGGGGCCCTTACGGCCCAAGCGCAATAACAAGCCATCTCGTGGCATAACCAATCCGGCCCTTGGCCTTACATAATAAACAAAATCATCACACTGGGTTCCCGCGCTCACTGGGGGTGTACAGACTCCTGGAGAGGCCCCTTCCTCACTGTTTTCGATTTAATATTACACTCAATCATGCTATGTTCTTACTGTTTTCATAACTCGGTTTTATTCACTCCTCCTGATTTCATAAATGATATTTTAAGCTGAGTACTTGTTTTACTGTCAGCCCGAGGGGCTTGAGTGAGTTCTAACTGAGTGAGGCCGAGGGCCTATGTTGTGAGGATGTTATGGGATCGGGTTGCGCGCCGCAGTGTGTTACACTGATTTGTGATATATGAGAGGCCGAGGGCCTGATTTATTGTGCCACGAGGTGGCTTGTGATTGATATGGGACCGAGAGCCTGTTGATTATGCCACGAGATGGCTTGTTATTGCGCTTGGGCCGTAAGGGGCCCCTCCCGGAGTCTGTACACCCCCAGTGAGCGCGGGTACCCAGTTTGTGATGTGATATAGCTCGAGGGGCTGATGTTGTTCCATGTTGTTGCCCGAGGGGTTGATACGATTGATTTTGACATAGCCCGAGGGGCTGGTTCTATTGGTATTTTGCCCGAAGGGCTGTTATGTGTTTCTATATTTTATACTTGTTTTCATTCACTCCTTTGAGTTGCTAAAAGATGTTTGAAAATGGTTTTACTGAACTAAGAAGTTTTTATGAGTTCTTACTATTTACTGTATTGTGCTGGTTTACATTGCCTCGCTGTAGCATTTTGCTGTATATTTATGTATTTTCTTATCGCTCAGCTGCCTTTACTTTTATTACTTACTGAGTTGGCGTACTCACATTACTCCCTGCACCTCTGTTTGGAGATTCAGGAGCCTCAGGTCACGCTAGCGAGGGTTGATTTGCTTCCAGCAGGCTTATTTGGAGTTGACTAGGTAGCTGCTCGGCGTTCGCAGCCCAGTGCTTCTCCTTCCTACTTTTATTTCATTTGTCCTAGTTTCACAATAGACTATGTTGTCTTTTCATACTCTTAGGCGGATTTTAGATGCTCATGACCGGTGACACCCCGATGTCGGGCTGTGATTGTTTCCGCATTTCTTCCATTTCACTTTGTTTTGGGATTTATCATTGTTAATGACTTGTTTATGAATCATTATATCTATTAATAAAACTTGGGGTTTGTGTCAGCTGGCCTTGTCTTCACGAGAGGCGCCATCACGACCGGGTTGGGATTTAGGGTCGTGACAAGTTGGTATCAGAGCCTAGGTTACATAGGTCCCACGAGTCATGAGTAGGTTTAGTAGAGTCTCGCAGATCGGTACAGAGACGTCTGTATTTATCCTCGAGAGGCTGCAGAACCTTTAGGAAAAACTTCACATTCTTGAATTCTTATCGTGCGTCCTTGATTCAGCTTGAAAAGTAACTCTTGAAATTCCTTCCACGCATTCGTATGCGCGCATGAGCGCTTAGTATCAGATATGCATCGATGGCTTGTGATTCCCTGATCGAGGGGCGAGATGTGATCTCTGTGTGTTTGACGTTGGGCCAGTCTGATGGACTTGAGGCCGGATTTTTACCTATAGCTTGAGCACCGAGGTGCTGGTTATGTGAGCCGTGTTTTCAAACTTATATATTCGGTAGTGCCCCTATTAGTAGAAGTGATGGCTGGATAGTTACGTGATGAGTGTGATGTGACTGCGAGATGTATTCATATGATTTAGAAGCGTCGAGAGGGGTGTGCTGGAGGATAGAAGAACTATTAGGTGCTTGATTTCCATCTTAATTCGAGGTATAGCCCCGAGTTATGGGTGTGTGAAGAACCTTTTCATGTTTCCTAGTTGGGAGTGAAGTAAATTTCATGTTGCGGTATGAGTTCAGACTCAAGAAGATCAAGCGACTGCGTAATGTTTATGACGGTGGAAGGTATACAGAAATGTTAGTTTGAGGCAAAACAGGTAGGGTATCTCATGCGGAGTGTTCTGAAGTTGTGTGATCCTTATGTTGTCTGTTAGAAGATCTCATTTACAAGTGAAATATATGTGTTGAAATTTAAGTTTGGGTCGCTTAAGAGAGTGGGTTTAACTGTTGCAAGAGTGAATGCGAGATTTGCAGAAGATTTGAAGTCCTAGATGGTCTGTGTGGTACGAGCTTATGAAGGGTTGAGTTTAATCTCACTATGGTATTATGGCAGCAATAGGGTATATGCGTTATGAGTTATTGTATGTGTTTTGATCTATGGCTTCGAGCCAAGTTGGGGAGTCTGCTGTTGATTAGTTGGTTGCACGGTTATGTGCTATGTTGGTTCCAGTTTGAGGCGTACGGGTGAATCAGTTATGGCTCACGGAGATTGAGACCGAGGATGGCTCGAGTAAAGGAAATTTCAATAAAGGTTATGTTATGCTTTATGGGTGTATGAGAATCGTGGAATGACTTGAGTTGTTATTGGTAAAGGATGTACGGTGCGTAGAACGGGAAGTTGTTTGGTTGCATTAAGGTGAAGTTACACCCTGCGGTGTCGGAGTGCTAACGAGGCACAGGTTGTTCGGGTCATTTAATCAGTCTAGTTGCGATTTGAGTAGAGTGGATGACTCTCGAGAATGGTTCTAATGGGTTCAAGATTTTACATGTAATAATTGGAGATTTTCAAGTTGTATATTTGGCTAGAAACTGAGGTTCGCATTGGAGGGAGTCAAGACTCGTGGTATTTCTATATCATTATGGGATTCAATATATATCGGTATCGGGAAGGTAAAGGTAATGGCTTTGGATTCGCAGGAAGTCCTTCCAGGGTAGGTATTTTTAATGTGGTGCTTTTGGGAATATTAAGAGAGTATCCAGTGGCTTAAGAGCCTTGGGCGGTGTGGTTTTATGCTTGGGTCTCATATGGTGAGTCTGGGTTGAGGAATTGTGATGTTATAGCAAGAAGGAGTATCAAGTTGAAGGTAAATCAGGAAACTCGGATAGATGGGATAGCTTGGTAGTAGGCCGGATCGGCATGGTAATGATATGATCGGCTCTTGGGTGCTTACGAAGTGGTGGGTTTCCACAGGTGTTTCGTGGCAATGCTCTTAGGTTTTGATGGCTTGTGTAGCTTAGTTGAGTTAGAAGGAGTCAGTCCTGATGGTTCGGTTTTGTGCAAAGGGGATTCGTAGAGTTCTTGATAATTTCTACCATAGTTAGAGATGGATAATTTCTGCTGGCATGAGGAGCATGGGAGATACAGTGATTTTCTCCTAGATGGGATCAAATGGAAAGTTCTTGACTAGTTGAGTATATATTTGATTGTGGCTCGGAAGGGATTATGAAGTTCTCATATTTATCATAGGATGGAATGTATATGTGGTATGTTGTGTAGGGTTGAGACTGACATGTGTAAGGTCGCAGTTCAGTTCTGAAAGGAAGGTCATAAATTCTTAGACAGCACGGGCAGTTTCAGATGACTAGGTAAATGATATTACTAAATGGTGTGTCTTGATAAGGGTATACACTTCAGAAAAAGGGCAATGTGTTTGAATTAAGGATACTTCATTAGAATTGTGGCACTCTCTTATTGGATCGACTGTCGATATTCAAGTTGGCTTGGTAGCA